AAAAAAAAAAATAGCTTCACATATATGAACAAAACAATTCATTAATCGCAAGAATTAGAACATAAAATGAGATTCAATCGATCAGAAAGGCACATAGAAACACAATTGATTCAAAACCTGATCTGTTGAGGGAAGCATGAGAATCGGAGGATGAAAATGCGAAACATCATCGAGCAGAGAATATTGGGGAGACGAACACTGTAGACGCAGCTCGAGGATGAGGAAGATGTCTCGTGCCGGAAAGTTTCTGATTTGATTAACGAAGTGGGAGAAGTTGAATATATGTTTGGGTGAAAATCTGATATCTTGCCCCAGTATTTTTCATAGCTTTGCCCTTACGATATTTTGGTCTCGCTCGTTTCAATTTTTTTGTTTGGCAAAAACGGGGAACCAGATTTAGTGACAGTTGAAAGTCGACACTAATATCATTAACATACTAAATAAAGACTTTATAAGTTGTCAATATTAATAATTATATTAGTGACAACACTTAGTCAATAATGACAATTGAAAGTCGACACTAATATCATTAACATACTATTAATGAAGACTTCATAAGTTGTCAATATTAATAACTATACTAGTACAGGTCCCGTGCGATGCACGGGGTGCACAAAAGTCATTTATCAAGTCTTATAATTATATAAATGAAAAAAATGTACGGGATATATATAGTACGTGACATGCAATAGGCCAAAATGTGAACACAGGTGATGCACAGGGTGCACAATTTAAATGTCATTTATTAGTATAGAGTCCGTGCGATGCACGGGGTGCACAATTTTCTAGTATGTATAATTCAAATACATACTGTATGCACAGGACAAAAGCACTAAATGAGTTATTTCCACAGAGCTTGCCCGTTAAGTAGCTCCTGAACACGGGTGCCCAATTTGTAGTACGTACCATAAAATAAGAATCAGATTTTCATACAATTAAATAATAAATTAGATAATAAATAAAGTCTTTTTTATTTTAGTAAGATTTTACGTACTTTTTTATTTCCATCCAATTTTAAAAGATACATTAAATATTTATTAGATTTTATATGTAAAATAAAATAAAATAAACATTTGTAATAGTTTTACGTGTTGCAATATTTTATATTTAAAATATTAAAAATCTTCTTTTACGTATTGCATATCAACATTTTATGAACTACATGGATATTCCTAAATTAATATTACATATCCAATATTTTAAGAACTAATTAAATGCTAATTTGATTTGCATACCAAAAATATTAGATGCATTAATTAAATGTTTAATAAAAATAGCAAATCATTAATTATGGTTGACTATTCTACATACCACATTTAGTAAATATTATAGTTTTTAATATAAGTATAGATTAGTGACAAGATAATGCTCCCATACCCACTGTGGGCACGTGTTAATATGTCCACCACTTGGCGTGCATATATTGGTGATTTAGTTTTTTTGAACATATTAACATCATTAATGTGTGCATGACACATAAGCGGTAGACATATTAACATGTGTCCACCGTGGGTAGGAGCATTCCTCGTTAGTGACAACATTTATTCAATTAGGATTTCAAGGATTTTTTAAAACATTAGAAATTCTATTGTATTTAATTTAGATTTGTTAAGACTTTTAAAAGTCTTGGGGTATTCAATATGGTTTTATAAATTCTTACAAAATCTTGAGGTACTTGAGACTTTTGAAAGTTTAGTGAGATTTCCAAACAAAAAACTTAATATGAAATCACACCTCTAGTCTTAAGATTTCACATCATTCCTTCAAAATATAAAAAAAAAAGTCTCAAATCTTAAAATGTCACTTACAATCCTAATTGAAACATTCACCCATGAGATGACAAAAACATTTTGTTTTTTTTTTTTTTT